ACCTATCTACACTAATCCTGCTTTCTAGCATTTGGACAAAAACCTTGAATATTATGATATTTTAAGTTCTCATTTACATATGCCTTAAAGATTGTGAGGTTTCTTGCCTCCATTACCTCCCCAGTTAGAGAATTCTAGATTTCCCACCACTTCCAGGTTTAAAAAACAGTTTCCTCACATCCAATCTAAGCCGTTTTAAAAATCACCTTAAAATTATGCCTCCTCATTATTGACCCTTCACCTAATGTGAATAGCTGCTTCTTATCTTTGTATCCATGTCCCTCAATCCTTTACAGTTCTATTAGGATCCTCTCAACCTTCTCTGCTCTGAAGAAACAACCTGAGTCTATCTGACCTGTCTTCATAGGTAAAAGACTCCAACCCAGGTAATATGGCAGTGAATATCCTCTGTACTCCTTCCAGTGTGATCAATTCCTTCCTACAGTGTGCTGACCAAAATGGCATACAGTACTCCAGCTCTGGCCTAACCATAGTAGTAACAGCTCCAACATAATCTCCTTGCTTTTATAATCTATGCCATGAATAATAAAAGCAAGTGTCCCTTATGTCTTTGTAACCACCCTTTTAACCTGTTCTGCCATCTTGAGATCTGCGGACAAGCACACCAAGATCCTTGCGTTCCTCTGAGCTTTCTAGTGTCTTGCCATTCATTGAGTATTCCTGAGTTTTGATATTTTTTAATAAGTGTATCCGCTCCCACTTTGCATGGTTAAATTCCATTGGCCACAGCTTCCCATCTGACCAAACCAACTATATCTTAGAATCATAGAATCCCCACAGTGCTGAAGAAGCCATTTGGCTTATCAAGTCTGCACTGACCCTCCAAAGATCATCCTAACCAGACACATTTCCCCCATTCTATACCCATAACCCCACATTTACAGTGCTAATCCACGTGGCCGACACATCTCTGGACACTACAGGGCAATTTAAAGTGGCCAGTCTACCGAACCTGAACATCTTTGGACTGTGGCTGGAAACTGGAGCACCCAGGAGAAACCCATGCAGATGGGTGGTTGGGGAGAATGTGCAAACTCTACACAAGCAATCACACAAGTCTGAAATTGAACTTGGGTGCCTGGTGCTGTGAGGCAGCAGTGCTAACCACTGTGTCTCCATGCTACTCTCGTAACCCAAGACACTCTTCCTTAGTATTGATCATTGTATCATGTGCAAACTTACCATCCAGCCCAGATTTTCTTCTATATTGTTTGTATATCTCTCAAAAAATAAGGGACCCAGCAATGATCCCTGTGACATGATATTGGACACCAGTCTCAAGCCAAACAAACAGCCATCTAATCACCACTCACTGTCTGCTACCACCAAGATAATTTTGGATCTATCTTGCCAAGTTAACCTGGATCCCTTTTACCTATTTTATCAGTCTCCCATGTGGGACCTTGACAAAAGCTTTGCTGAAATTGATATGAACTGTATCAACTGCAGTACCCTCATGTACACACTTAATCACCACCTCTGAAAATGTTTAAAATTTTTAAGGCCTGACCTCCCCTTGATAAAACCATGCTGACTATCCCTGATCAACCTTACCACTCCAATTGAAGATTAATTCTCTCCTTCAGAATTTTATCCAATAGTTTCCCTATCAGAAATGTGAGAATCATTGGTCTGTAGTTCCCTGGCTTATCTTTTCCACCCTTCTTGAAATGTGGAACCACATTAACAATCTTCTGGCAATTTCCCTGTGGCCAGATAAGAATTAAAATTTTGGGTCAGAGACCCTGTAATTTCCTCCCTTGCCTCCCACGGAAACCTGGTATACAACACATCTGGACTTGGAGATTGTCCATTTCTAAATCTGCCAAAACCAACAATAACTCTTCACTCCTTATGTCAATCTGCTCAAGAATCAAACAGCCCCTCTCCCCAAATTCCGTGCCGTCTTCCTCCTGCTGAGTGAAGACAGATGTGATGTACTCTTTTAACACCCTACAGTGTCCTCTGGTTCCACCCACAGATTGCCCCCTTCATCACTAAGGGGTTCTGCTGTTGCCCTGATTATTCTCTTCCCCTTATGAACATGTAGAATATCTTGCGATTCTCCCTAATTTTACCCACCCATGTTTCTCATGCCCCACCTTGCTCTCCTGATTGCTTTGAGTTCTTGCGTCTTCTATCTACAGTTAACTCGGGCCTTCATTGATTCAGTCCCTTTGCATGTGCTAAAAGCCTCTCTTTTCCTTCTTATCCAGTTCTGAATATTTCTATCACCCAGGGTTCCATGGCTTGTTGCTCCAGCATTTCATCCTAATGGGAGCATATTGGGCCTGGATTCTCTTCCATTTCCTTTTAGAATGCTCTCACAAGTAGCTGTTACCTAACTTTGGCCAGATCCTACCTTATTTTAATAAAATCTGTTTTCCCCCACAATCCAAAACCCTTTTTGTTTTGCAGACTATCTTTCCCCTTTTTCATAACAAACTTAAATTGTTCATATTGTGATTCTTATCACTAAAGTGCCTCCTTGAAAAACCCCATTGCAACTTGACCACCTGTTTAGGTTTGTTGCTCAGAATTTGGTCCAGCGCTGCACTATTCCTTGTTCAACCTTGTGTGCGTTGACATAAAAGGCCCCCTGAATATATTTCAAGAAATCTGCCCCCTCTAAATCCTTTGCACTATGACTATCCCAATTAATGTTGGGGAAGTTGAAATTCCCTAAAAAAATTACCTTATTGTATTACCTGCTGACTGTCCAGAGCCCTATAAACTCAGCATTAGCAAATCTACCTGCAAGGATGTTAGAGCCTTTCTGGTTCAGGTGTAGACTGTCACATTTGTACATGTCCCACCTTCCCAGAAACAGGCAGGAATCTAAACCCCGCCATCGTGCACCAACTCTTGAGTCACTCATTCATATGCCCCATTCTTCTATTTGTCTACTGACTAGAAGAAGGTACTAGGGATAATCCAGAGATTACAACCTGAGAGTTGCTGCTTTTTAATATAGTGCCTCAGTCCCTGAATTCTTGATGCAAGACCTCATCTCTCATTCTACCTATATCATTGGTGCCAATTTTTACCATGACCTCTGACTTATCACCATCCCCCTTCAGGATGCCCTGCAGCTGTTCAATGACATCCTTGGTCCTGGTCCCAGAGAGGCAACACATCATCCTGGAATCATGTCTGTGGCCGCAAAAACATCTGTTTGCACTCCTCAATGTTGAGTTACCTACCACTATTTTCTTTGAAATCTTACCTCTGCCTCCTTGTACAGCTGAGTCGTCCATAGTGCTGTGGAACTTTGCCATTGTGTTTCCCATTGGAAATTTCACTGTCATTGTTTTACAACACAAGAATGGTTATGGTGTGGGGTTTCCTCTGGGGCTTTCCTGCCTGTCTGTATGGCTCCTTTCCTCTGCTTGGTGGTTATCTATTCCCCCCTCTGTCTGCAGCTCCTTAGTCTTCAGGGTGACCACCTCAGCAGATGTGCTATCCACATTGCCTTCGGCCTCGCAGATGCACCTCTGTGCCTCCAGCTGATGCTCAAGTTCCAAGACTTGACACTAAAACCGGCAGTACTTCCTCCAGGTCTGGTCATCCAGACTTCCAGAAACATCAAGGAATTCCCACATGCTGCAGATGGTTCACACTGGCTTGGGCTCCCCTGCTAAATTCAGTTAAATACGAAGGACCTTCTGTTCAAAGGACTACTGGAAAGAAAGAATTACCATGTGGACCCCTGTATGTCCTTCTGCACCACCTGTCAAGACTTAGCTTACATCTATTTGGAGAAACCTTTAGGCTTCAGCTATTGTGATGACGTAGCCAGAGAGGAAAGATTCTGCCACCTTAAGGACAGGAAGTTCCTTTCAAAGGTTCCATGAACTTTTGGGAACAACAACTGTAACCTTGGGAGGTTGATTAGTCTAAAACATCATCAATCCTCCTGGGCTTGTTTTATTTTTCCCATAGAAGACTTAGGAAGGTCCAACTATGTAGCTTCATTGTTCTTTTAAAAATCTGCCTTTGATAATTAAGAGAGCATGAAATGTTGACAATTAAGGACTGAACCAGATGTTTAGACCATTTGTCAAAACACAGAAATTGTGCTTGAGCTTACCTGTTTTGCAATCAGTTCAGATTTCAATTACTCTTTTCCCCTTTTTTCAATTTCCAAAACGGTCAGCAAGTCTATTTTGTTTTCCTCCTCTCCTTTCCTAGACAGCTTAATCAAATGCATGTGAACTTAGATGTTCTATCTGTAGAGCTAAATCCTGTGATCTAACACACAGAAAAGTGGTCTAGTTAAAAATGCGCTTGGTATTTTTACGTAGATTAGTAACTAAGATATGCAGATCAACAAAATAAGATACTGGAATCTTCATTGTGCTCAAATGTATCATGTAATTTTTCAGTGAATATTTATGCAAAGATTTTTATTGTAATGACACTACAGTGTTTCATTACTTAACTTAATTGGTTACTTAACTTAATTACTTAAATTAATTGGTTGCATAGTCCCTATTGGAGATAGAAGTCCATCACAACTTTTATTGCTATCAGGTTAAAACCTTTTTAAATGCTTCTTTGAGTGAAATTAGGACATGCTGTGACTTGTGTGGAAATATGCTGTGTTGGGTGGTTAAAGATACAGATTATGCATTGCACATTTTCTCCTTTCTGAGAAAATTACTTTGTACTATGAAAAAATGTTCAGCCACAAATTAGAGAATACATATAACAGAAAACTGGAAATTTGTTTTAAAGATATTCCTACTTTATTATAAACAGAACATTCTGAAAGATTTTTGATATGTTGAAAATTAGTATTGCCTGTTGGAGAAATCAGTTGCTCTTCCAAATTCTAATTCGGAACATTTATTTTCCTGAACTGTAAAGATTGAAAATTTGTATTTTAAAGAATGAAACTAATTGCAAACTAATTTCAGTGAAAAGCACAATAGGAGTTACCTTATTTTCTTTAAAACCATTATTTTTTTTATTAATAGGTCAGCTCAATTGAAAAGCTGTAATCATGACAGCCGAAGAGACAATAAATGTTAAGGAAGCGGAGATAATTAAATTAATCCTGGATTTTCTTAATTCAAGGAAGCTCCATATTAGTATGCTTTCTCTTGAGAAAGAAAGTGGTGTGATAAATGGATTGTATTCCGATGATATGCTTTTCCTCAGGTACGTAGTGCTGTTGCCAGCTTATTTTAATTTTGTATGTCTTGGGTGCAATAACGTTTAGTTAGTACTAAATTTTGTTGTAATTGTGTACGCTTCTAGATTCATTTTTTTGTTTATTTACGTTTCTTTTTATCCCTCCCTTTTGCTTTGCGCTGTCATCGCTTTATCGTCTAACAGCTCCTGCCTTTGGAGCTAACATAGGCTTTGCAGTTCTTTTCAGCCTCTCCTTTTTCTTGCTATGGTACTTAAAAGGTAATTTCAGACATCTTCCAGTTCTGATGAAATAGATTCTACATGTTCTGCTGAATGTTTCCACCATTTTCTGTTTTTATTTCAGATTTATAGCAATATTTTGCTTTTGACTTAATGTTTTATTTATTCGGCCATAAGGATATATCATTCTTTCGTTATATTAGTTGAGAGTTTTGATTTCAGACCATCTCTTGAAGTCTACAGCATTAACTAGAACTTGAAACTTCACAAACCGTGTGGTTGTTATTGTATAAGGTGCAGATTTAATAGTAGTAAAGCTTGTAGTACTGCTCCCTAACTTCTGGGATACCCCTACACTGAACTAGCGTAAACTAGTTGACAAAATTATTCAACAGATCTTTCTTTCATTGAGTGAGATTGCTATTCTGTGGTAAAGTTGGGACAGCTTTGTGTTATAGATTCATGCCCCTAAGAACTGAATTGAAATTGTGTCTAAAATCATTTTACATTTGGATTAGCTAAGACAGCAAAACACACACTAATTTGAAGTAATTAAATAGAGCACATTGATCCGATTTTACAAGATGACAATAAAATTTCCACATAATTTAGGCACATGAACCTGTTGTTCTATATACATTTGAGGAACTTGATGGAATGAGCTCTTTGCTAAATCAAACAAAAATACTATCAGTGCATGTTTTTAATAATATAAAGTAAATCAGTGGATGGTAGTTACGGTGCTAAGATGGAAAATGATGCATACACGTCTGTGATAATGGTGACACATACTGACCCACTTTAACATCATTTACCTATTAAAATTGAAATGTAGGCTAGATTTTGTCACTTTTTTTTTCTTTTTGTCCTCTCCTAAAATAATTTACATTTTTGTGAGGTATGGTTCTACAGGCAACAGGAACCATCCAATACCTGCCACAATAGATGATATTTGTGAGCCCTCACAGTCCATGCAATCACACCATTTGACTGTTTTTGTATTGGATTTCCAGCATCCACAGCAGTAGTTTTTGAACTACAGTTTTCCTGCTTTTTTTCTTTATTTAACCTATTTTTTTAATCAACCTGTTCAGATACATTATTACACACCTCTGGAGCAGATGAGACTTGAACACAGGCCTCTCCGTTTAGAAGTAGGGATACTACTGCTATGCCACAAGCGGGCCTCTCACCTGATTTGACTGCAGTAAATGATTTAACCTAGCATACTTTGCCCTCATCAAGACATATTTGCTTCCAGCAGGGCTTATTTAATCATGTGCAAGAGAAAGACCCTGAAAGCTCTAACACCAGTGGTAGTTTCCTTAACAATACTTGCTCTAATATCAGAAAAGACTAGGGATGTAGTAAAGATGATGAAGATAACTCCACTGATCACTGCATAAACATGCTGAGCATCAGCTTTGTCCAGCAATCTGCAGGCTTTACAAAAGTATATTAGATAGCGAGATTAACAGTCAAATAAAAATGATGGTAATTGCATTAATTCCTTTTCTAGGTTTGATATGAAAATATAAACTTGGGTTGTGCCATCTAAAACAATGTAGCATTTCATTTTAAATCATCTTTGGGTATTTTACAGACAGCTGGTACTTGATGGCCATTGGGATGAAGTGCTTCAATTCATCCAGCCTCTTGAGTGTATGGAAAAATTTGATGCAAAAAGGTTAGCGCACTTTTTCTTTTCTTGGTTTTACCTGTTACCCCCCTCCCCCTTCTAAAATAACAAGTAACAATATTTTTGTGTTTCAAACATCAATCATAATTTACAGAAATTGCTGGAGAACCTCAGCAGGTCAGCCATCATCTGGGGAGAGAAACAAAGTTAACATTTCACATCCACAATGATGACTTCAGAACTGAAAGAGTTGTTCTGAACAATAGTCATATTGGACTTTTTTTATCTATTCATTTGCGGAATGTGGGCATCGCTTGCTGGCCAGCAGTTATTGCTCGTCCCTAGTTGCCCTTGAGAAGGTGGTGGTGAGCTGCCTTCTTGAACCATTGCAGTCCACCTGCTGTGGGTTGACCCACAATGCCATTAGGGAAGGAATTCCAGGATTTGACCCAGCGACAGTGAAGGAATGGCGATGTATTTCCAAGTCAGGATGGTGAGTGGCTTGGAAAGGAACTTGAAGGCTGTGGTGTGATGTGCTGCTCTTCTCCTTCTAGATGGAAGTGGTCGTGGGTTTGGAATGTGCTGTCTGAGGATCTTTGGTGAATTTCTGAAGTGTGTCTTGTAGATAGTACACACTGCTGCTATTGAGTATCCGTGGTAGGAGGGAGTGGATACTTGTGGATGTAGTGCCAATCAAGCGGGCAGCTTTGTCCTGGATGGCGTCAAGCTTCTTTAGTGTTGTTGCGGCTGCACTCATCCAGGCAAGTGGGGAGTATTCCATCATACTCCTGACTTGTGCCTTGTAGTTGGTGGACAGGCTTTGAGGAGTCAGGAGGTGAGTTACTCGCCGCAGTATTCCTAGCTTCTGACCTGCACTTGTAGCCACTGTGTTTATGTGGTGAGTCCAGTTGAGTTTCTGGTCAATGATAGCCCCGAGGATGTTGTTAGTGGGGGATTCAGTGATCATAACACCACTGAATATCAAGGGGTGGTGGTTAGTTTGTCTCTTATTGGTGATAGTCATAGCTTGGCATTTGTGTGGCGCGAATGACACTTGCCACTTGTCAGCCCAAGCCTGGATACCGTTGCATTTGAACATGGACTGCTTCAGTATCTGGGGAGTAACGAATGGTGCTGAACATTGTGCGATCATCAGCGAACATCCCCACTTCTGACCTTATGATGGAGGAAAGGTCATTGATGAAGCAGCTGAAGATGGTTGGGCGAGAACACTACCTGAGCAACTCCTGCAGAGACGTCCTGGAGCTGAGATGGTTGACCTCCGACAACCACGACCATCTTCCTATGTGTCAGGTGTGACTCCAACCACCAGAGACTTTGCCCCCCAATACCCGTTGATTCCAGTTTTGCTAGGGCTCCTTGATGCCACACCCTGTCGAATGCAGCCTTGATATCAAGGGCTGTCACTCTCGCCTCACCTCTGGATTTGTAATGAGGTCAGGAGCTGAGTGGCCCTGGCGGAACCCAAACTGGGTGTCACTGAGCAAGTTATTGCAGAGCAGGTGCTGCTTGATAGCACTGATGATGACACCTTCCATCACTTTACTGATGATTGAGAGTAGACTGATGGGGCAGTAATTGGCCGGGTTGGACTTGTCTTGCTTTTTGTGTACAGGACATACTTGGGCAATTTTCCACATTGCTGGGTAGATACCAGTGTTATAACTGTACTGGAACAGCTTGGCGAGGGGAGTGGCAGGTTCTGGAACACAAGTCTTCGGTACTATTACCAGAATGTTGTCAGGGTCCGTAGCCTTTGCTGTATCCAGTGTCTCCAACCAGTTTTTGATATCACGTGGAGTGAATCGATTTGGCTGAAGACTGGTATCTGTAATGCTGGGGACCACTGGAGGAGGCAGTGATGGATCATCCACTTGGCACTTCTGGCTGAAGACTGCTGTGAATGCTTCAGCCTTATCTTTTGCACTGATGTGCTGGGCTCTTCCATCATTCGAGGATGGGGATATTTGTGGAGCCTTCTGCTCTAGTGAGTTATTTAATTGTCCACCACCATTCACAACTGGATGTGGCAGGACTGCAGTGCTTAGATTGGATCCATTGGTTGTGAGATCTGTCTATCACCTGTTGCTTTCACTGTTTGGCATGCAAGTAGTCCTGTTTGGTGCTTCACCAGGTTAATTCGTCATCTTCAGGTATGCCTGGTCCTGCTCCTGGCATGCTGTCCTGTACTCTCCATTGAATCAGGGTTGATCCCCTGGCTTGATGGTAGTGGTTGAGTGGGGGATACGCAGGGCCATGAGGTTACAGATTGTGCTGGAGTACAATGCTGCTGCTGGCTGGATGCCCAGTCTTGAGTTGCTAGATCTGTGCGAAGTCTGTTCCATCTAGCATGATAGCGCCACACGACACGATGGAAGTTACTCTCAATGTGAAGGCACAACTTCGTCTCCACAAGGACTGTGCGATGGTCACTCTTACCGATACTGTCATGGACAGATGCAGCTGGCAGATTAATAAGGATGAGGTCAAGTATGTTTTTCCCTCTTGTTGGTTCCCTCGCCACCTGCTGCAGACCCAGTCTAGCAGCTATGTCCTTTAGGACCCAACCAGCTCAATCAGTAGTACTGCTGCCAAGCCACTCTTGGTGTTGGACATTGGAATCCCCCACCCATAGTACATTTTGTGCCCTTGCCACCTCAGTGCGTCCTCTAAGTGTTGTTCAACATGGAGGAGTACTAATTCATCAGCTGAGGGAGGACGGTATGTGGTAATCAGCAGGAGGTTTCCTTGCCCATGTTTAACCTGAAGCCATGAAACTTCATGGAATCTGGAGTCATTGTTGAGGACTCCCAGAGTAACTCCCTCCCGACTGTATACCACTGTGCCGCCACCCCTGTAGGGCATATCCATGGATGGTGATGGTGATGTCTGGGACATTGTCTGTAAGGTATGATTATGTCAGGCTGTTGCTTGACTAGTCTGTGAGACAGCTCTCCCAATTTTGCTTCCAACACCAAGATGTTAGTGAAGATGACTTTGCAGGGTCAACAGGGCTGTTTCTGCCATTGTCTTTTACAGTGCCTAGGTCGTCTGGTTTCATTTCTTTGAGACTTTGTAGGGATTGATACACCTGAGTGGCTTGCTAGGCCATTTCAGAGGGCAGTTGAGAGTCAGTCACATTGCTGTGGGTCTGGAGTCCAGGTGAGGGTGGCAGATGAAGGACGTTTGTGAACCAGATGTGTTTTTCCTGACAATCTGCAATGATCAGTAGATTCTTAATTCCAGACTTTTATTTTAATTATTGAATTCAGATTCCACCATCTGCCGTGATGGGATTCGAACCCGTTAGCTGGATTGATAGTCTAGTGATAATACCACTAGGTCATCACCTACCCACTTGAAACATTAACTCTTTTCCTCTCCACAGATACTGCCAGACTTACTGAGTTTCTCCAGCACTTTCTGTTTCTTTCATTTCAGATTTATAGCATTTTGTGCTTTTATATCTGTGGCGGTCTGCCAAGTGAGCAAATGAATAAACTTTCAGTTTAAGAGATTTGCATACAAGCAGATGGAGCTGAAGTAAGCATCTGAATTTCACAACTATGAATATTTGGTATTGGAAATTTACTGTTAAAATTTTGTACTTTTCTACACGTAGTCACTACCTTAATGGAACAATTACAGTCAATTAATTGTATGTTCATGGAACAGGAGTAGGCCACTCAGCTCATTGAGTGTGTCCCAGCATTCATTACAATCATGGCTTTTCAAATGTATCAATGCTCTTGACCCACCCCATCCCCATAACTCTCCACACCATTAATAATCCTAAATTTATCAATTTCTACCTTTTAAACATAGTCAAGAATTTTGAAGGTTCACAACTGTCCATGTCAAAAACTTTCTTCTCAACTTGGTCATGGCATCCCCCTTATTTTCAAATTGTGTTGCCTGGTTCTAAACTCTGCAACCAGAGAAATTTGTGCCAAATATTGATTGCTAATAATTTGTTAATTTTATTGTAGGAATGTGTCATTTTGCCTCAACTCATTGTAAACCATTCTTCATGGAGTGCAACATTATTTAATCTGGTTTATCTGCTTTTCCAGGTTCCGATATATTATTTTGAAACAGAAGTTTTTGGAAGCATTATGTGTAAACAATGCAGTGTCAGCAGATGATGAACCTCAGCATGTAAGCGCATGACCTATTTAATTTGTTCTTATGTATCATTCTATCAAATAAGTTGAAATGCTAGACGTGGCAAATATATCATTTTTAACACTGAAGATCCAAGAATAATTTCCCTAAAGTCCCTTTATTATCTCTACTCCATAGGTTTGCTAATTGTTTATTACTAATATTCTTGTCACCTTGATATCCTAATTCATTACCAGCTGAATTTCTGACCCCATATTTTCTCCCATCTCTGCGTAAGCCTTTCTGTTTGTGTACGATCACCCTTGCCTCACTTGGTGCAGAGCAATCATTCAACTGTCTAGCTTTTGCTGTGAAATTCTCATTTCAAACCTCTTGACCTCTCCTGCTCCATCTCTAATAAGACCCTTTAAAATCACATCTTGTGGCCAAAATTTTAATCATCCATTTTTATATTTATTTCTTTGACTTAATGTTGATTTTTGTTATGAATCCAACTCCTTGAACTGCCTCAGGATGTTTTTCTGTATTAAAGCTTTTACAGTAACAAATGTTGGTGAGCTTTAGCATCACCAACCAATTACGGTAACTAAAAGCAACAGAATTTTAAATCTGACATAATAAAGAGATGTGTATTTTGAAACTAATAGCACAAATCCAAGTAAAATAATGTCCTCCTGAATCATTTTTCCAATGGAAATGCTGAAACGTGAATGTGTGAATAAGGAACTATCAATATTGATGTCTTAATTGTGGTTTGAGATTATTTTATATTACATACATGATCTGTGTAGGATGAAGACTGGTACGTGATTTGTCACTCTTAATTTTATGTTCACGAAACTAGGCTAATGCTAATCCACAAGAGAGACAGCTTTGGATTTCTGCAGCATTGAGACTGGTTCCAGGGCAGGTGGGACCAATGCAAGGAAGGCAAATTACACCTGAGCAGGACTGGCACCGATATCCCCACGGGGAGATTGGAATTGATTTAAAGAAAGATAAAATAAAATATGTGTAAAATGGCAAGAAACATAAAGAAATAAAAGCTTCTATGGGTATGTCAAAAGGAAAAGATTAGCAAAGACAGATGTGGGGTAATTACAGACATATACAGGAGAATAAAATAGAAAATAGAGAAGCGAGAGAGAAACTAAATAAGTACTTTGTCTCTGTCTTCACAGAGGACAATACAAGAGGTCTCCCTGAGGTTAAAATCCCAGGGTCTGGGGAGTGTGGAACTGAAAGAAATTAGTATCAGAGAAATTAATGGAACTGAAAATCAACAAATCCCTGGGACCTGACAACCTTCACTTAGAGTGTTGAAAGAGATAACTACAGAGATAACAGATGCACTGGTGAACACCTTTCAATATTCTATTAACTCTGTGATGGTGCCTGTAGGTTGGAAGATTGCAAATGTGACCCCACCCACTGTTTAAGAAAGGAGAGGGAGAAAAAGTAGAAAACTACGTCATGTTGGCCTGATATCTGTAGAAGAGAAAATCCTGTAATCTGTTATAAAAGATATAATTATGAATATTTAGAAAATAATTGATTGGATTTATGAAGTGGAAATCATATTATACAAAACTGCTAGATTTTTTTGAGGATTTTACAACCAGAATCAATAAGAGGGAAATAGTGGATGTGATGAATTTGGATTTTCATAAGGCTTTTGATGTAATCTTACACAGGTTAGTGAACAAATGCAAAACACATGATGTTTATCCTAGCAGAAAGCAGACAATAGGAATAAATAGGTCATTCTCAGGTTGGTAGACTGTGATCAGTAGACTTCTGCAAGGATCAGTGCTTGGGACGCAGTTATCATATTCTGTATGAATTATTTAAATGTGGGGCCAATTATAATATTTCCAAATTTGCAGATGATACAAAATTGTACAGAAATGAGAGTTGTGTGAAGGATGCCAAGAAACTTCGTGAATTTAAACAGGCTGAATGATTGGGCAAGAATATGTCAGATGAAATATAATATAGATAAATGTCAAGTTATCCACTTTGATAGGAGGAATGAAGGTGCAGAGTATTTCTTAAATTGAGACAGATCGGAAAATATCAATGTCCAAAGGGACTGCAGTATCCTTGTTTATAAATCACCGAGAGTTAGCACGTACGTACAGCTGGCAATTTCAAAGGCAATTGATATGTTGGTGTTTATTGTACTCCTGATTACAGGAGTAAAGAAGTGATGTTTCAATTATATAGAACACTGCTGAGACTGCATCTGAAGAATTGTGGCAGTTCTGATCCCCTTGCCTCAAGAGGAATATACGTGGCATAGATTGAGTGAGAAAAACAGAGATTCACCTGACTAATCCCCACAACTGTCCTATGAGGAGAGGTTGAGGAGACTGAGCTTAATTCACTGACATTTAGAAGAATGAGGGACTATCTCATAGAAACTTACAAAACGATTAATGGGTTTAACAGAGTCATGTTGAAAGGCTATTTTCACCTTGCTGTGGAGTCTAGAACTAGGAACAGTCTTTAAATAAAAGACAAGCAATTTAGCACTCAGATGAGGTGGAACCCCCTTCATGCAGGGTTGGTGAATATATAAAAGCTGTAGAATCTCATTCATTGAATATGTTAAACACACAGATTCATACTTTACCGATTACCTATGACATCATGGGATATGGGAATAGTGCAGTAATATGGCATTGAAGTACATGATCAAATATTGTCTTTTTTTTGCATGTCAGAGCAGGTTTGAGGGGCTGAAGGGCCTAGTCTTGATCTGATAGCACTACCCAGATTATGAGCCGTACTTTCTTTTAGATAAGAAAAAATGTCCTTCTGACTTGTAATGAGTGGTGGCCAGATAGCCGTTTTTAAAAATGAAAAATAGTAAATAGTTCAATCAGCATTTTCTCATTCATATGATTGTAAATTTACACCAGATTGAAGTTTGATACAAGTAAAAATTACGAGATGTGGGCAGAGTAAATTTTTTTATTATTTATTTGTTCATGGGATTTGAGTGTCACTGGCTAGGCCAACATTTATTGCACATCCCTAATTTGCTTTGTGAATGTCATGGTAAACTGTTTGCTTGAATCACTGCAGTCCATGTAGAGTAGGTATACCCATTTTGCTGTTAAGAAGGGATTTCCAGGATTTTAAAGCAGCGACAATGAAGGTACAGCAGTAAGGTTGCAAGTCAGGATGGTGTATGACTGGAAGGAAATTTGCAGTTGGTGGTGTCACCATGCATCTGCTGCCCTTGACCTTCTAGATTGTAGAGGTCACAGATTTGGAATGTGCTGTTAAAAATGCTGGATAAGCATTTGTGGTGCATGATGATAGGGGGTTAAATGCTTAACGTGGTCATTGGGTGCCAATCAAGTGGCTGGCTGGTCCTGGATTTTGTCAAGCCACTTGCATGTTAATGGAGTTGCATTTAACCAGGCAAGCAAAGGATATTCCATCACATTCCTGATTTGGGCCTTGTAGATGGTAGAAAAGCATCGGCAAGTCAGGAGGTGAGTGACTTACCACAGGATTCCTAGCCTCTGATCAGCTCTTGAAGGTAAAGTATTTATATGGCTAATCCAGTTCAGTTTATGGTTAATAGTAATTCAAAGAATATTATTAGCAGATGATTCAGAGATGTTCACTAGTTTTACCATCAAGGAAAGATGGCTAGATTGTCTCTTTTTTGAGATGGTCATTGCCTCTCACTTTTGTGTGGCACAAATGTTACTTGCCACTTGCCAACCCTAGCCAGATGTTGTCCAGGTCTTGCTCCATGTCCACATGGACAGCTTCAGTATCTGAATAGTTATGAATGATGTTGAACATTATGCAGTCATCAGCAAACAATCCCACTTCTGACCTGATGAAGGGAAGACCATATCATTCAAAAATTACTAAATAATCAAGGGAAATGAGGAGAAAAGAAATTAAATACAATAACATGACAATAAAGGATATCTTATCCCAACCATCACATGAGGAAAAGTACTATTGAAACAAATCGGGGTAAAGGCCAATAAGTCACCTGGACCTGATGATGTATCCTAGGATATTAAAGGAAGTAGCTGTAGACATAATGAATGCACTGGTAGTAAGCTTCCAGGACCTTTAGATTCTGCAAAAGTACCGGACGATTGGAAAACTACTGATGTAACAATTTATTTAAAAAGGGATGGGGACGTAAAAGCAGGTAACTATAGATCAGAGGAAGGGTCACTCAACCCAAAATGTTAACTGATTTCTGTCCACAGACGCTGCCAGACCTGCTGAGCTTTTCCAGCAATTTCTATGTTTGTGCCTATAGATCAGTTAGCTTAAAGTATGTTATAGGGAAAACCCTCTATTTAAAGGAAATACATAATATGATCAAGCAGAGTTGACATGGCTTCATGAAGGGAAAATCATGCCTGACAAATGTACTGGAATTCTTTTGAGTAGTTATCAAGCAAGATGGATAAAGGAGATGCACTTGAGGGAAGTGAATATACTAAATTTGCATAAGACACAGAAAAGAGGTAGAAAGTCAAGTGATGAGAATGATTCAAGGAGCAGAGGCGTAAAGACAGGTTAAGTGAGTGGGCAGAAACTTGGCAGATGAAACATAACTTGGGAAAATGTGAGCTTGTGCATTTTGGCAGGATGCATAGAGGAGCTGAATATTTTTAAATGGAAAAAGAGTGCAGAAAACTACAGAACGAAAGGATTTGGAAGACCTTGTCCATTAATCATAATTAGCTACCATCCAAGTTCAGTATGTAATAGGGAAGACAAACAGAATGCTGGCCTTTATTTCAAAGGGAATGGAGTACAAAAGTAAGGAAGTTTTGCTGAAACTGTACAAGGCACCAGTCATACCACAGTTGAAATACTGAACAGTTTTGGGCCCCTTATCTAAACAAAAATATGCTAGCATTGGAAGCAGTCCAGAGAAGGATCACTCGGCTGATAACAGGTATGGAGGGACTGTTTGAAGAGAGATTGAGTAGGTTAGGCCTGCACTCATTGGAGTGTATTTAACAATGAGAGATGACTTTACTGAAACATTCAAAATTCTTAGGCGACTTGACAGGGTAGATGCTGAAAAATTGTTTGCCACTGTAGGAGAGCCTAGGAGCTGAAAACATATTGTCAGAATTAGGGGTCGCATATTTAAGACACAGATGAGAAGGAATTTCTTCTTGGACAGTGAATCTGTGGAATTCTTTATTGCAAAGGGCTGCCGAGGCTGGGTTGTTAACTATATTCTAGGCTGAGATAGACAGCTATTATAGATTGATAATAGATTTTTAATCAGTAAGGCAATTAACGATTATAGGGAAAAGTTGGGTGTGGATCATCAAAGCAACCTTGATCTCATTGAATGGTGGAGCAGACTCAGTGGGCTGAATGGTCTGTTTCTGCTCTATGTTTTGAGGTCTGAGCAGCTGAAGATGGTTGGACCTAGAACACTAGCCTGAGGAACTCTTCAGTCCCAGAACATTGCTGCAGATGACTGACCCACAAAGAGCCACAACTGTCTTCCTGTTTGATAGGTGTGATTCCAACTGCTGGAGAGTTTCCCCAATTCCCATTGACTCCTATTTGCAAGAGTTTCTTGATCCCATATTTTGTCAAATGCTGCTTTGACGTGAAGAGCAGTTGCTCTTGCTTCAGCTCTGGAATTCAGTTCTTTTGCCCATGTTTCAACCAGAGTTGTAATGAGGTCAGGAATTGATCCAAACTGAGTGTTTACTCAGGCTTTTACTGAGTTTGTGTTGCTTGATAGTCGTACCAAGAACATATGCTGTCACTTTATTGATGATAGAGAGTAAACTGATGGGTGCAGGGGTGGAGTGGGTGTGTTGTAATTAGCCAGGTTGAATTTGATCTTTTTTGTGAACAGGAAATAGCTGGGCAATTTTCTTCATTGCCAGGTAAATGCTGCTATCTGGCTAGTCTAGAGAGCAGAGCTATGTCATTAGCCTTTACATGATCCAGTGCTTTCAGCCATTTCTTGTTTTCACGTAGCATGAATCAAATTGGTTTAAGCCTGACATCTGTGATGCTAGAGATGTTAGGAGGATGCTGAAATAGATCATTTATGGTACTTCTGGCAGAATTTGGTTGCAAATGCTTCAGTTTTTTCTTTTGCACTAATGTGCTGGGCTGTCCTTGCATTTGAGGATGGGGATACTTTTTAAGTTATCTGCTTAATCGTGCAACACTGTTCATGACTGGATGTGACCAGTCAGCAGGGCTTAGATCTGATCTCCAATAAACCCAGAGAGCACTGGAGAAACTCAGCAGGACTGGCAGCATCTGTAGAGAGAGAAACAGAGTTAACGTTTTGAGTCTGGTGTGACAGTGCTTCATCACAAGTAGATCTGACCTACAGGTTGTGGCATTGCTTAGCTCTATCTGTTTGCATACTGCTTCTGTTTTTCATGCTTGTAGTCCTGTGCTGGAGCCTCATCAGAATGACACCTCATTTTTAGGTGTCGCTCTTTACATGCAGGTTTGTGGGTATGGAGTATATGTAGGCCAGACCAGGTAAGGATGGCAGATTACTTTCATAAAGGATATTAGTGGAGTTTCCAATCATATTTTTATAATGATAATCAACAAAAATTTCATGATTTGTCTCGCTTTTACATTTATTAATTGAAGTTAAATTCCACCTGCTTTGTCCCCAGAGCTTTTGGATGAGCCTCGATTACTTGACCTGTCTCGTTACCACAGCTCCGCAACCTCCCCTTTTCTTTAAATATTTAAAATTAAATTTTATTTCAGTTTTTTACCTCCTATTCAGAAGGGTATTGTTTCTCACGTGATGTTTATACCTTTTTAGCTTGTAAAAATCAAGGTTAGACTTGCATCAAAATATATTTGCACTAAAAAAACTCATAGATCTTGAATGTTATTTATTGCAGCTAGAGTACACAATGCAAGAGGCTGTAAAGTGTCTACATGCGCTGGAAGAATATTGTCCCTCCAAGGAAGACTACAGCAAACTCTGCTTATTACTTACCCTTCCTCGCTTAACAAATCATGCAGAATTCAAGGACTGGAATCCCAGCACTGCTCGTGTTCAGTGCTTTGATGAGGCCTGTGTTATGGTGGCAGAATTCATTCCTGCTGACAGAAAACTGAGTGAAGCTGGTTTCAAAGCAAGCAATAACAGACTATTTCAACTTGTCATTAAAGGTTTGCTGTATGAGTCTTGTGTAGAATTCTGTCAGAGTAGAGCAACTGGTGAAGAGATTAGTGAGAGTGAAGTACTGCTTGGAATTGATTTACTTTGTGGAAATGGGTGTGATGATCTGGATTTGAGCCTTCTCTCATGGCTTCAGAATTTATCACCTGATACTTTCTCATGTGCTTTTGAACAAAAGATTTTGAATATCCACACAGACAAACTTGTAAAACCTACAAGGTCTTCATACTCTGATATTTTAACACCTCTAATTAATAAACTGTCTCCTTACCCATCATCCCCAATGAGGCGTCCGCAATCTGCTGATGCATACATGTCACGATCCTTAAACCCAGCATTGGATGGACTGTCGTATGGGCTAACTAGTCAGGAGAAGCGTAATGCTGACATAGTGAACAGAAGTTCTCCAATGTCTCATTCTTTTGCGAACTTTAATTATCCTGGTACACAAAACCTTTCGAGAAGTCTCTTGCTTGAAAACACAGACTGTCACAGCATATACGAGGAATCGCCAGAAAGGTTAGTTTATTTTTGTATTTATTTATATCCTTATTACTGTTTAGATAAAAGGCTATGGGTTAATTGGCATGTCTAATAATATTTGAATCATTTATAGTATATATGCAATTCCAGTTTAGAACAGATCACTAAAAATAGCTCAATGATATATATTTTAATATTTATACTTTCCCACTGCATAGTTAATAGAAGTAAAGTAAACTGGTCAATTAGAAGGCAAATATGAATGTTGTAGTGAAGTACATAAGATATAGGAGCATGAGTAGGCCATTCAGCTTCTCAAGCCAGTCCTGCCATACAATCATGGCTGATCTGCTCCAGGTCTCAACTCATCTTTTGTGTCCGCTTTTCATAGCCCTCAACTCACTGATAGTTCAAATATCTACCAACTCCTATTTGAATACTTCCAGTGATCTAGCCTCAACACCTTTCTGGGGTAGAGAATTCCAGACGTTCATTGCCATCTGAGAGGAGAATTCCTTTGCATCTCAAATGTGTGTTTTCAAATGTGTGTCCCCTTTTTCTGTAACTCTGTACCAAATTTGAAGCTCTCCCACTACCAGAAATATCTTCTCAATATTAAGTCTGTCAAACCCCTCAGAATTTTGTGAGTTTCAATAAAATCATTCATTCATTAGAATTTAGGAGAATGATAAAAGCCTAACTTGAAAAATCAAACAACTGCAGATGCTGAAAATCGGAAACAAAAACAGAAATTGTTGAAGAAACTCGACAGGTCTGGCAGCATCTATGTAGAGAAGGCGGAGTCAACCTTTTTGGTCCAGTGACCCTCCTTCAGCACACAGCCTAACCTGTTCAGCTGTTCTCATCCTAGTGAATCACTTTTGAACCTCTTAAACCAATATGTCCCGTCTTAAATACGTGCACCCACAGCTCTAAACAGTAGTCCAGATATGGCCTCTCCAGCACCCTGTACAATTGTAAAAGACTTGCCTATTTATAAACTCCAACACCCCACCGCTAGCACTGAAGATCAGACTTCTATTTGCCGTATTACTTGTTTTGTCTTTGTACAAATCTTTTGGATTTCTTGGACAATAACATCAAGATCCCTCTGCACTGCAATTTTTCGAGTCTTTGCCGTTAATGTAATAGTCTGCTGTTTGATTCTTCCTACCACAGAAACATAGAATATAGGAGTAGGCCATTTGGCCCTTTGAGCCTGCTCTGCCATTTAATATGATCATGGCCACCATTCAACTCCAATGTTCCTGCTTTCTCCTACTGTCCTTTGATCCCTTTAGTCTGAGAGCTATATCTGTCTCATTATTGAAAACATTCAATGTTTTGGTCTTAACATCTTTCTGTGGTAAAGAATTCCACAGACTTGCCACTCCCTGGGTGAAACAATTTCCCTCATCTCTGCCCTAAAAGGCCTACCGATGTTCCTTAGACTGTGGCCCCTGATTCTCTGGACTTCCAGATTGCCAACAATATCCTTTCTGCATCTAGACCACAAGACCATACTATATAAGAGCAGAATTAGGCCATTCGGCCCAACAAGTCAGCTCTGCCATTCAGTCATTTCTGATATGTATTCTGCCTTCTCCCCATAACCCTTAATCCCTTTACTAATCAAAAACCTATCTATTTCTGTCTTATACACACTCAAAACTACCCTGTCTAACATTGTTAGAATTTCATAGGTTCCTATGAGATCACCGTCATTCTTCCAAACTCCAGTGAATATAATCATAACTGATCCAGTCTGCCTTCATACATCTGGTCTGCCATTCCAGGAATCAATCTGGTAAACATTCTTTGCATCCCCTCAATAACTGGAACATGCTTCCTCAGTTAATGAAACCAAAGCAGCGCACAAAACTCCTTATGGTCATACCGACGGCTGTACAGTTGCAGCAAGTCATCCATGCTCCTGCACACAAACCAATGTATAAAGGCCAACATATCATTGCCTGCTGCACTTGCATGCTTACTTTCAGCGACTGGTTTATGAAGACACCCAGGACTTGTTGCACTTCTCTCTTTCCCAATCTATCGCCATTCAGATACCAATCTGCTGGCCTGTTACTTTGATCAAAGTGGATAACCTCACATTATACTGCATCTGCCATGTATTTGCCCACTTGTCCATCTATAAACTTGGAGACATGACATGTATTTTCCTCATCTAAATCATTAATATACACTTGAATAGCTGGCATTCCACTAGTCACTGCCTGCCACTCGGAAAAAAGACTCTTTTATTCCTATTCTTTGTTTCCTATCTGCTAACCAGTTCACATTCCCTTTCAGTACATGAATTCCAATCCCGTGCGCTTTAATTTTCCATGCTGATCTCTTCTGTGGGACCTTATCGGCAATCTTCTGAAAATCTAAGTAAACTACATCCATGGCTCACCCTTAACCACTCTACTAATTACACCTTCAGAAAATCTAGCAGATTTGTCATACTTGACTTCTCCTTCATAAATCCATGCTGATTCTGTCCTATCATGTCACTACCTTCCAAATACTCTGCTATTATATATTTTACAATGGGTTTTAGCATTTTTCCCACAACCAATGTCAAGCTAACTAGTCTATAATTTGCTGTTTTCTCTCTACTTCCAATCTTTAAATAGTGGAGTTACATTAACTACCCTCCAACCCATAGTAACTGTTCTAGAGTCTATAAAAATTTTGGAAGATGACCATTAACCCATCTGCTATTTCTAGGGCTACTTTGTTAAGTAGTCTATAATGAAGGTTATCAGACACAGGGGACTTATCTACCTTTAATGCCATTAATTTCCCCAGCACTGTTACTCTATAAATAGTGATTTCATTTAAATCTTGCTTCCCATTAGGCAGTGTCCCTTCATATTTTTTGTAATGATGTTTTGTGTTCCTTTGTGAAGACAGAACTAAAGTATGTATTTGAGATAACAAGGTGTAGAGCTGGATGAACACAGCAGGCCAAGCAGCATCAGAGGAGCAGGAAGGCTGACGTTTC